CACACGAGATCAAATTTGTCAAAATCAAATCCTTCCTACACCCCCTATTATCCCCCTTATCTTCACGAAAAGGTCAATCCTAAAAGTGTCACACCACACCTTACCTCATGGATTTCAGTCTGTCGCGGTAAGACTTTAAAGAGCGGAGATAACACTATACAAACTTCCCTTTTATCAGTTTATTTTACTGGATTATACTTTCTGACTAATATCTTCGTACCCTAATCACTCTGATTACTGCTAATATTTCTATTACGTCTACTACTATGGTATTTGAATTGGCGATTCGATCTCTGTGCAAATGCGGTACGACAACTTGAACTGATGTACGTTCTTACCAAGTTCTACGTTGTAGCCGACTGACTGACCATGTGAGAATCATCACAGAGTTATAAAAATGACTTCACCAAATGATCACTCACATCTCAAGGTTTTCATATTGTTGATTAGATTTTCTCAATATTCGTATTTGTTCATCATATGTTCTCCTATTTGTACTCAAACATTTCAGTCTACTGGTTGGATTCAAATTAAACCAGGAGGTAAACCATTTCCAAATGGTCAAGAAGTTGGTATTCTCCGGTGGCGATTTCAAACTTCCGATGAAGCTGCCCTTCCTATAACTGGTAAGCTGTTGTATATTTATTCCCCTCTAAGTCTATCAAATTTGTGTTTTTCTCTTTACATCAAGTTGAATATCATTAGATACTGACAAATTCATCATGGTTTCGTTTGAAAGTTTCGCTCTCTCACTCTTCCATATGAAATAGATATTTGTTTTAGTGATTTATTCAAATTCCAGAAAAGTTCTTTGGGCTAGTTTGGATCTTTTTAATACTATTACTATTATTATTATTATTTGTTTCCGTTATGACTTATTGTATCGTTGAGCTATGTTTTGCAATGTAGGAATAGGTTGGAAGAAAGCTAGGAGCGGTCAGACCAAATCATGGCAGAAATCCATGAAGTCACTGACAAGTGGACTGAATCATGTTGGTCGGTGTCGACTACCACCTGATTGGTTAGAGACGTCGAATGACATAGCTTGAAATTGTTTGCGATGGCGCAGGTGTATTCACTCTTTGTGTCCTATGAAATTCTAACCTTCTGAATTATTCATCACCTCTTTCTTTGTCTTTCTAAGTCTATTTCACTGAATTATACTTCTTGAATAATATCATCGAACTCTAAAATTTCCGATTATTGCTAATACCTTTACTATCTCTACCAATATGGGATTTGAATTGACAATTACATCTCTGTGCTAGTGTGATATGGCAGCTTGAACTGATGCACGTACGTACGAAGTTCTACGTTGCTGTTGATGGATTGATTGACTTATTGTATTTCAGTTTAGATCTTAATGATAAATCATCGTAACTATCACAAAACGTAGGTCTTTACAAGATATTCTCCAAACTATCTACCAATTGCATAGCATCCAGACATCATTATTCACGCCATATCTTGTAACTTGGATTAATGACCATAATAGTTGAATTTGTGCAGTACAGTATCTATAGTATTCTAAACTGCACTTATACATTAATTATTGATACAATTGAAGCTCAACAATCTGGTGAAACAAGTTTCTTGTTTAAACTCCAAAATCCAACGAATGTTGTGTATTTGACTGTCCATATTTCTCTGTCCGCTGACTGTTATTCCTTATAATATAGAACGTTTGTAATTTTTGATCATTTTCATATTTTTCTTGTTCAACCACTGAAGATTTTTCTGTTAAGCTCAGTGCAGCTGACATGTCAAATAGTTACAATCCATGATATATGCTTCGTCTAAATTATTTTTTGTGGTTAGGATTTTTTTAGCAAGTTGGTTTCCCATGGGATGGGGTCGCTAACCCTTCCTTCTTTTAAACGGGTTTGGGACCGGCAGTAACCCCAGAGAGGCCCTTGGAGGCGATGTCAAACAGTTTTTAAATCAATAATTACTGACTTTTTCTCAACGTCATTCTACTTTACGAAAAAGCCAGTCTCAAGGTTGGATTTGCTGGACTTGCTTACTATTGTTATACACCTTTATAGTCGCAAGTTCCCTCGAGGTAACCCTAGAAGGGTTCCAGATGGGGAGTTCTCCGGTTTTTACTTCAATGCTTTTTCATTTTATTTTCATTTTAGTTAATTGTTGGCCAAATGAAATACCCGGTGGTTTTGAAGTCAACATTGAATATGAACTACAAGATTCCGAATTAGAATTGAATAATTTAGTCTTGTCAATACCATTACCGTAAGTTTAATACAAGTACTACTTGTCTTTTTCTCTCTTACTTGTTAATCAATACTTCTTGAATCATTTCTTCGAGCCCTAATCTTCCCCATTACCGTTGTCGTGGAGTTTCATTCTCTGAGCTGGTTGTGGAGTTTTCATTGTACTTGTGATAATTTTCTCTTATACAACCCAACTATCTCGAATGCTTAGTATTCTCGGACACCAATTCACTCGAAACCGTCCCCCTAATCAGAACACTGTTGAACAGGATGGTTAGATGGAAGTAAGAAGAAGTTCAAAACGTTAGTATATTTATAGTTTCTTATATGAGAAGATTCTAGAATGTTCCCCAGTATCGACTAGAGCTGATTGGATGTCAAAAAGCTGATCAGCGTACAACAACGCAATCGTGTATGGAACATGCTTTAATCCAGTTCATGTCATACTAACAGTTCTTCTGAACAACATCAGCACAAACTTCAGATAGAAGTAACGTATTTGAATTTCTCCACGTTTGACCCGTAGCTTGTTCTATTAACGTCGATCTTGATTGGTTGTTATTGACCTGAAACCTGTCGTTGTTTGCACATTTGTTTTGATTGTATCCCCCTTTTGATCTGTTTCTTGATCCTATGTCTGTCTATGATTTTTCTGGTTAGTTAATAAATTGGATCAATGTCGATATGTTTTCTGAATGCTGATTGACCTGCGTGCCAAGTTTCTAGAAATTCCCTAGTGTTCTTTGTGCTCCCCCTATCCAGTTTTTCAACATTGTTCCAATCAAATGTATGTCCATAATTGTCCGTTTGTATTGAAATAAAGGGAAGAAATGTTGTGGCGTTTGAGTACTAATTGATGTTCATGCAGACGAAAGTGAAGAGGACGTTCACTTTGTTCTATGTAGCGTTTTTCACAATCGGAGCAGTTCATTTTGTAGATGATATTTGGTTTTCATTCTCCATTCCCGCCAATACATCTGCTACCTCTACCACTATGGAATTTTAATCGACAATTGCGTCTTCGTGTGCTAATGTGGTATGGTAACTTGAACTAATGTACGTACGTTCGAAGTTCTACGTCGTAGTTGACTGACTGACTGTGATGACTTGATCAGTTATGTCTATTAAGTTTTGAATAATATCACATTGTTAGTTGACTGTTGATCTAGTTGGTGACAGCTATCTTTGAACCATTGCTGATTATAACTAATTGGCTGTGTTTTGTATATCTAGTCACCGTACTTTTCTGGGTAGCTTGAGCGAAGAGCAGACTAAGAGATAACGGACTAGTTGACGAAGGGCTCATTAAACTATGCAAGAGGGTTTACATTTACTGATTACACTTTTGTGTGTAGCAATGATTATTATTTCATGTTGAATGCTTACCGACATTAATATTATCTTTTTTTCCTTCCTTGCCTAACGCCACTGTACACATATTATGAAATATGGGGTAATCTGAACTGACATTTTTCATATATACGATGTAGTTTATTTCGTGTATTATAATCGATTGTAATTCAGTTGAAATGGGCGACCTTTAAGAAATACCAAAGTGACCTTGATGAAATTCGCCCACTCACAAAGGTCTGAAGAGGATGATAAATTAATGGAAGAAATTAGAATTGGGATTGAGGAGTTAAAGTTGGGAATTAGAGTTATGGTTTTTATCACCAGTCGGCATCAGCTCTACTGGCAATATGCTATTAAATTATATACGTGAATGAACTTCGCACCAAAATATGGGACTTGTCTTCCTAAATCCGATTGGTTCGTCTATAAATTCTAGTCTCGCCTACATAGAATAGATAGAGTCCTGTACTCGCTTTTTGTCCTATTTACGACTTGACTTTAACTGGATAATGTACCTGCACCCTGCAGTTGATGTTCATTACGGGACTCGGACCGAGTATAGTGTTCGCTTCAAACGTCATCTAATAATTCACTTGACTACTGAGTACAGATAAATAGCTACTAGTGGATGAGTCCTGAACATCACAAAATGCGCGTCGTAGATTCCACAACTAGCCACATTCTATCTATTCTATGTAGACTTGTGTCATATTGGTCATATCAAGGTGATCCTTATTAGATGCTGCCTCTATTGCCAACGAACGTTGATCAAATGTCAGTCAAATTAACAGCATTGACAACATGCAAATTGAATTATTTCATCATTGTTTAAATTTACTTTATGCAGAAAAAATAAATTTTCTTTTCTCCATTTTTTTTGTCCATTAATTTGAAAGTCCTTCAACTAAACCTCCATTAATTGGTAATTATGACGGAGAATATGAATTATGTCCACGCAAGACACAATTAGACTGGCGTATACCGATAGTGAACAGTGATAGCTCATCTGGTTCCTTGGAATTCACATTAAAAACAGAACGTGGTGCAAAAGCTGACCAATTTTTCCCGTTGAAATTAAATTTTGGCTCAAATAAATCATATTGTGGAATTCAGGTAATCTATATGTGTATATGGAAAGTTTGTTTTTGATTAAACTATATTTTCAGAGTCTGGTTTATTGTAAGGTTAGAGATTTTTTTTAAATGATCGGAAGTAGTTGTCTAGGCAACTTATTGATTGGCAATGATATTGATATAAAGTTACTTATTTACTTATGCTTGTTACCCCTAATGAAGCATAGGCTGCCGACCAGCGAATTATTTTTCTGGTTGGCGTTTTTTAGCGAGTTGGATTTCTACAGGGTAGAGTCGCTAACCCCTCGCGTAACCCTCCTCTTTTATCCGGACTTTGGACCGGTAGTAACCTTCAGGTGGAGTTAATGTAGTAGTAAGTGGGATATCACTCACACTTAATTTTTGATACAGTTTTGGCTTTGTCTGTAAATAATAGACTGATGTTGAAGGCGCTTAACATTGTGACGAGAAAAAACTAGATCATTTCAACATCTGGGTGGGGGGACCACGAGATACAGTTCGGGATGCAGCTGGACAATTTGGACTTCACAAATGATTTAGCTCTTCTATCCCAAACGCAACAACAAAAGCAGTTGAAGACAGTCACTGTAGTAGCATCCTCTGCAGCAGTAGATTTTGAAATATACATTAAAAAAAACCAAGATTTTTCAATACAGCACAAGATACTCCAACCACATCATACATGATGGAGAATCATTAATGCATACCTGGGTAGCATCATTGATGATGAACCAGATGGGTCTGATGCAGATGTCATGACACGAATCGACAAAGCAAGGATAGCGTTTCTACAAATGAACCACATCTGAGACTCTGAAAAAAAACTGTCGATCAACGCCAAAGTCAGAATTTTCAATGTGAACGTCTCGACAGTTTTACTGTGTGGAGCGGAAACTTGGGGAACCACGAAAATCATCGCCCACAAGATACAGATGTTGATTAACAATTGTCTTCGCAAGGTGCTCTGGATCCGTAGGCCGGTCACCATCAGTAACAACCTACTGTGTGAGAGAACAAACCGGATTCCATTGGAGGAAGGAATCAGGAAGAAGCACCGAAAGTGGATATGGGATACACATTTCCGAAATCGCTAAACCACATCATGATAGGCAAGCCATAACTTGGGATCCTCAATATCAAATAACACATTACATCGAGAATTGAAAGCAAACATGAAAAGAATGAACACCGATTGAATAGAACTGGAAAGGAAGGTCTAGGACAGAGAGAGAGAGAGTAGGTTAGAGAATGCTAGTCGGTGGGGCCTATGCTGCATTAGGGATAACCAGCCTAGGTGTAAGTGAGTAAAAACACAAACACCCAAAGCTCTGCCCAAAAATATCATAACAGTGCTCACTAGTGACTAGCTTCGTGAGGAAATTCTCGGAGTTCTAGTTGAGAAGACGTGGCCAATGGAGTTCAACCCTGCCGGGTGTAGGCAGTAACTACCAAAGACAAATGGGTGAGGTCGCGCAAAATCCCTAGATCAATCAGAGTTAGACATTAACACCGTTGGATGCCGGCCCAGTGGTCCGATGGTTAGGCGTTCGCACACAATACCGAAGGTCCCGGGTTCGAATCCTGCGAGGTGCAGGAGTCGTGGATGCGCACTGCTGATGAGTCCCATACCAGGACGAAACGGCCGTCCAGTGCTTCCATGTTTCTAATAGTGGTCTAACAATGATTGATTGATGATTTCAAATGTGTAAAAACACAAACCTCCAAAAAACTGCCCGAAAAATCAAGTAACTTTTACTTACCACTTATCTTATTCATGATCCTATCCTTACACTATCAGTCATATATATTACATTTCTATTTCGTTGAAAAATAGTGTATTTATATAAAATATCACTGGTATTTCTTTTTTTTTTTTGTTAAATTTTTATAGATTATGGAAGCAACTGTAAGCAATCAAAATATCCCAATCAATTTTTCTTATGAATCGAATTTTCATACGGAAAAATATGAAATTAATTAATTTGACTGTAATTTTTCTTGTTTCATTTTGTTGTGTATGTATGAGTGTATCTATCAATTAAGCTTAGTGTTTTGGGAATTGGTCCTGATCGTCTGTGATTTTTGTGAATGGGTTGTAATTGGATTTTCATTTACTTTGGGTTTTTTTTATTTTGATGATATACATGATCTGGACTAAATAATAATAATAATAGTAATAATAATAATAATAATATAAGCTTTTTCTTACTCTCTGTTTATTGATTTTGAGAAGAAAATATAGTTTTTAGTTGATGAGACAAGACGGGAATATGGTGGTAGTTTAGCCTAATGCGTTCATGAACTGGTGTGGGGGGGCAAACTATGCACTTGATCGACTGATGATTTGGGACCTCACTTATCGAATTCCACTTTCAGGATGTGTTAGTTTATGTAGATAGATATTGTTACTGACTGTTGTACTCATACTTAGGTTTTTTACTCCTCCGAATAAGATTCCTCAGCCAGCTCTATCCTGGGCCTTCCTTTTCAGTTCCTAGCAATTGTGGTTCATTCTTTTCATGTTCGTCTCCGATTCTCGGTGCTATGTGTTCCTTGGTCTATCGCTTTTGCCAGGTGAGGGCTTGCCTCATGACGCTGTTTGGCGATTTCTGTTATGTGTATCCTATCCACTTCCAGAGCTTTCTAATGTCTTCCCAATCTTGGAGCTCATTTGTTCTGTCCCATAGTAGGTTTTTGTTAATGGTTAATGGCCAACTAATCCGCAAACTCTTGCATGAACAACTTTTAATAAACACCTGTATCGTTTGGATGGTGGCTTTCGTAGTACTCTACACAATAGAACTGTCTTGAGGTTTGTATGGAAAATTTTGACCTTGGTGATACCTTCGGTCCCCAATCTCTTTGGTTACGATTTGATCTCTGTATGCCAACGTGGCTTGGTAACTTGCGAAGTTCTACGTTGTAGCTGATTGACCGGTGTTGGTTAACAGACAGTTGTTTTTGAGTCTTAGATGTTGTTGAATTGTAGAAATGCTATCCTTGCTTTGTCGATTTTTGCCTTCACATCTGCATTAAATCCATCTTGTTTATAAAGGGTGCTGACAGATATGTAGAAGTTTGCACATCTTCCAGGGCTTGACCAAGTATGATCTGGTTGGTGCGTAATGTGTTGTATCTACGGATCTGGCTTTTTCCCTTGTGAATGTCGATACCTATTGCTGCAGAGGCTGTCATTACACTGGCCGTCATCCCCTGCATTTGTTGTTGTGTGTGGGATACAAGAGCTAGATCATCT